GGGCACCACATTCCAAGAATGATGTGGAGAAGGTCTAGAAAAGAGCAACAAAAATGATTAAAGGTCTAAAAAACATGAGCAATGAGGCAAGGCTGAAGGAACTGAGTTTGTTTAGTTTGGAAAAGAGAAGACTGAGAGGGGATATGATATAGAGGTTTTCAGGTATCTAAAAGGGTGTCAAAGGGAGGAGGAGGGAAAATTATTCTACTCTACGCTGATTAGGCCAATTGGAGTATTGTGTCCAGTGCAGGGCACCACATTCCAAGAAAGATGTTCTCCTTGACATCTGATGATAGGACAAGAAGCAATGGACTTAAACTGCAGCAAGGAGGTTTAGGTTGGTTTAGGTATGGTTTCATGAGAAGCAATCCTATTCCAGAAACATCCCATTTTCCTGGTACAATCAAACCCTTACCTCTTATCTTAACTTAAAACAAGGAAGTTGTGTACCAAATTTAGTAGTCTTAACTCTTACCATTTAGGAGGAGTTCTTGAACAGACAGACAGACAGACACACACATGCACAGACACACAAACTCTCTCAAATACATTGCAGATGAGCTCAAGGTCGACCTGCTCTTGTAATGCTGGGCCAAATCATTATAAAGGTCTGAATAGTCTATGGTATAGTCTACAGAATAGTCTGTGTTTCAGTTATGCATGAAGACATGCATCTGATGAAGTGGCAGGGGAGAGGGGGCACTCCAGCTCACCAAAGCTTATGCTCAAATAAATGTGTTAGCCTTTAAAGTGCCACAGGACTCCTCATAGTTTTTTTCCAAAGGTCCATTTTATACACAGTCACTCCCTCAAGAATGTGTCTGAGACCAAACCTGGCCATATTTAGAGTACAATCCAAGAGGCTTTGTTTTCTTTAATAGCAGGCCATCCTAATATCTTACACTAACTCTCTGTAATGCCCTGTCACTGAGCCTACTGGCTGGGTTTTCCTCCTATAAAGTTAGCCAGTTTAGTGCTGCAGTTGATCAAAGAATATAAGCTCCTTTTTTTGGAATATACAGTTTGCTAGCATATCTAAACCTTGTAAAGTATATATCCAGATATGGCAGGAATGGGTGTCTTGTAAAAGCTTGTACTGATGGTAATAATCATTAGCTGTTTTCTACAAGCTCATCATTTTAACAGTCTTTTGATTAAAGCCAGAATTTTTCAATTCCCCCACCCTTACTAAATCGTGTCCTATGTCTAAGAGAGAAGAGATACTTGCAGAAGAGTCAATCAGTTATAACTCAGTAGCTTTTCAGCATGAAACAGATCTTTTTCTTTTGTTTCTTGTTCATGCCGAGGTTTGGATGCATATCTTATGATACCACATCAAAGAGTGTATGATAAGTAAGATGTAGGAGCACAGAAATTGCTATGCCAGAATGAACTAGTTGGCCAACAAATAGGAAGCATTTCTCTCTGATCTCAGTTGGATCATTTATGCCCTGGTGGATAAGGATTATTCAACCTTGTAATGTTTATGCTTTTCTACTTTAGAGAGATGCTATACATTTTAAGATCATGTTTTAACAAATGTCATTGCTTGCCTTATTAGTAAAATCTTCAATTTTAAATACACCAAGTGTTTAATATTCAAATATATTTTGTTCTTATTAATAAACATTTCAATGATGCACCAAACATGGCTGTTTGAAAAATTTCCCATCAAATTGCTTTTCTACAGAAAACTGGATTTTGAACAAAAT